AATAGTATTCATGAACTCCAGTCTATATAGTTGTGTGTAGCCAAGGGCCGCTAGCCCTATTGATTACGCGAGAGATAGGAATAGAGGTAAAGAATCCGCGAGGAGCGGGATTTCTTACACTCTTTTTCAGAAGATTTGATGCTTTAGTGATGACATTCAGATCTAGATTCATCATGTCTGAGTGTGTGACTTGTGTTATAGAAGTCTGATTACTCATTCTTCACTGAGATATACTCAATTGCAGTATTTTCTGTTACAATTGACTCACTTATTTCTGTACAATGAGAATATTATATGCTTTCTTCACTGTATCTGACTGTGAGGTTAAGCATTTTCATTCTGCTCTCAACTCAGGTGTAAGATCATGAATGAAGATCTGTAAATAGAAAGATGTTGAAAGCTCTTTATTCAACACAAGATAGTATAAGCTGAAGTGTGTGAAGTATGATATAAGATCACTTACTTGTCTACACTCAGTGAAGCATTTATAATGCTTATCTTATATATTCACTTTCTCAAAGTTGTGCAAGATTCATTTGGAAAACTCATTTCATATTTGTGAGAATGAATATCATTTCAGGTCTGTGAGATTCATCTTTTCATCAGCTATTTATAATGACTTTGCTTTTTCATGTAGAAACATAGCAGATTTTAAGACTTGTTAAAATTTCATTGACTGTCTGTCTGTGAGTTCATATTCAATCTGATAATATGATTGTATCTGACTTAGTCAGCTGATTGCAGCATTATTTTTTCAGTCATCATTGAAGCTTGATGACTCTGACAGATCTCTCAGCTTGATGTATTTCATGCTCAGATTCTTATCCTGCACAGTGATCTCTGATAGTGTGTACACTTCTGAAGAGATTGTGAATGATTATGATGAGATCTTCAGATTCAGTATAGTCATCTATCTGTGTAAATATTCAATCTTCTGCTGCAGGTCTAAGATCTGGTTTTCTCTATTCTTATTGATAGTGATGATTGTGTTGATGAAGCTCTTCATAGTGAATGCTTGATCTGCAGTGAATATCAATTGTTGTTTGACTTCTGTCTCAGTCTGTCACTGTGTATGCAAGGCCTTAATCTTGTTTAGAATCCTTGTATGTGTACAGAGCTTTGATTTCAGTTCAGTGATCTCAGCTGCTTTTCTTACTACTTTGAGTAAACTCTCTGAGAGATTCTGTATATCTTCTGATTCAGATAGCAGAGAAGAGTGTTATTTGTATCAGCTAGAGAAGATATTCATTTCAGTAGTTTCTTATTAATTATATAATATCTATTATTATCACTATATTATTATATCACTATATTATTATATTACTATATCACTCTGTTATCATTATATGACTTCAGTGATGATCATTTTCTCTTTTTATCTCTTTGAGTGAAGAGTAGTCTTCTTTGAATCTGGTTCACTGCTTTCATTTCTTTTCTCACATCTCATCTGTTCTCATACATGGCATTCATCTGAGTGTGAAGTTTTCTCTCAACAAGTGAAGCAGTATTAATTAAATGCTCTTCTGCTCACTGCTCTTTGTATACTATCTTTTGAGATATTCTAGAACCACACTGACATGATAACTATGAATTGCTTTGTAGATGAAATTATCACACTCTGAAGAAGCCTATGCTTCTTACCAGTTTTTAGACATGCTATCAGATGTGATTCAAAGATTGCTTAAGCCAGTGTATGATTACAGATGTACACCGGCTTCTTATATATTGTAATATCATACACTAATTTAATTAGCGGCTGCTATGGCCCCTTTACACTCATACGCGTACGCTAGTAGTTCGGAAGCGGCCGCGGTATTATCCGACAGTCGTACGTTCTTCCGAACCACAATTTTAAGATTTTTTTTAGACTATTTTTAATTTTTTAAAAAGTAACACTTTTTAATAATACTTAAATAAGATTTAAAGTTATTTAAAATAATAAAAATAATTTAAATTGAGAAGTGAAAATTATAATCTTATTTAAAAAATGTGATAAGAGTAGACAGTAAGTCTTACTAAGACAGTATAAGACTACTATCTAATATTAAAACTGTGTAATGAGATCAGTTAAATTGATAATGAAACTATTAAAAAATCTAGTTCTGATTTCAGACACAGTCACATGATCAGTCTACATATAATACAGTAATATAATTGACTTTCAACCTTTTAATTCATTTATTCACCAACCGCTCCACCACGAACTCGCTTGATTTTTCAAATAAGAACCCGCTGATAGATTCATTAAAAAGCTCTCAATCATACAAGTATTCTGACCCCATCACCAGCTGCATACTCTGTGTGGTGGTGGAGTTATTCAGTTAAACATGAACTGAACATTGTTCAAAACTTCTGTGTGAGATTATCTTCTGTTCTCCTCTATCACACCTAGACTGACCGTGTGACCGTGTCTGGGACCAGGACCAGATTTTTTGATAGTCTCATTACCAATTCGACTGATCCCATTACATGGTTTTAACATTAGATAGTAGTCTCATACTGTCTCAGTGAGACTTACTGTCTACTCTTATCACATTTTTCAAATGAGATCATGATTTCCACTTCTCAATTTAAATTATTTTTATGACTTTAAATGACTTTAAATCTCATTTGAGTGTTATCAAAAAGTGTTACTTTTTAAAAAATTAAAAATAGTCTAAAAAAAACCTTAAAATGTCTAAAAATAGTAACTTTATATCAAGAATGAGACTAAATGAAATCAAATAAGATCACTTTCTCATTTTTTTCAAGTCATGGTTTCATTTTAAGATCTGATATATAGTCACTTTACATGTTTTTTTGATAGCCAGTCTCAGCGGGATTCACGCCAAGAAATGTATGGGACCAGATCAAATGAGATCAAATGTGAAATTCATGATCTCAGCGGCCAGTCTAACCACACCACAACTCCGGGCCAAAGTGCCATACAAATTGTAAGATGAAGTAATCTAGTCATATACATCAATCTTCTCAATTTTGAAAGATCTCTGATCTGTAGTTGTGAAGATATCTGAGAAGTGATCTCTGTGAAAATCCTGTTCATCTTTGATGTTTTAAAACATTAATGTCAAGTCTCATTCTTGTATCACTCTTCTCAATCTGGCTCATCTCTGACAGAAAAATACAAAAAGATATCTCAGTGATAATATCAAGCATATAATCAACAGACTCTTCTGAAGTGCAATCTTTATAATCTGTCATCAGTGTATCTAGACTTTAACATCAAGTCTCACTCTTGTACTACTTCTCTCAATCTGGCTCATCTCTGACAGAATAATACAAAAAGATATCTTGATAACAGTATTTAATACATAATCAGTGAACAACAAGTCAACAGCACATCAATAACTATAAAATCAGTATATCTCAAGATCTGACTGAGCCTTTGATCCCTGCATAGTGAGATATATTAAATCTAGTTTTAATATCTTAATATTCAATAAATTCTGCAAGGAATTGAGAACAGCAACACTAGATTTCTATTGAATTTAAGAATTAACTCTATATTAATATAATCATTGACAAAGTCTTCTATTTTGAGATATAAATAATCAGTTTCTCTACATCCTGCTGACAATATTTATATTATTATATAGAAATAGACTTATATTTTCTATAATATCAAGACTCTGAAGAGAGAAAGCCTTGATAGAGAGTATATAGTAGTGTATATCTTAGCAGTTTCTATCTCATTCTTCTACAGCAGTTAATGCAAAAAAAAAAGATCTTAGAAATAGTTTTTTACTTCTCTTGAAAAAGTAAGATGTTTTTCTCTGAATTTTATACAATATTCTTATAAAGAATTAAAAACAGAGTTGTTTTCTGTTATAATTTTATATTCTTTTAAGTAAGAATTACTTTTTCAGTGACTAAAGAGCTTTTATTAATACTTAATGCTTTTTTACACTCTTTATTAACTGATTTGAGTTGCACACTTGTTGTGTGAGAAGAATTAAATGATTTAGAATAAAATTGAATAGTTTTAATCAATTTCTCTGCAAAAAATTGATTTATTTTTTATCAGTTTTTCTCTTAAAAACTGTCATATTATCTGCTTTATTATCAATTGATATCATACTTTTCCTCACTATATTTCAAGAAAGAGATTATAAAGATTTTATTGATTTATCTTAAAAATCAATTTTAGTTTATTAGATTCTCTTCAAAAATCTAATCTAGTTACTGAACTAGTGTGAAAAAAATCAGGTATTTTATATATAAAAGTCTTTTATTCTTCTTTTGAAACAGTCTGACCAACTTTTCAATTGAAAATAGACTTAGAAATATCTCAATTAAAACAGTCTGATCAACTTTTCATTGAGTGAAAACAATGAGTTCAAAAATACACTCAGTTGATGTGAAAAAAGATGCTTTCTCAAATGCTATTTCTGAGATTGAAATTCTGAAGAGAAGAAAGAAAGAAGAAATAGAGAAATAACAAGTTCTTAAAATACAGAAACTTGAAAAAGCAAGCAAGATTCTTGAAAAGCAGTATCTGAGTGAGATGAATGAAGTAGTTCTGTTAATTCTTCATACTCAGGCTAGACAACTACAGAAGATGATTAAGTTTAAACTTGAAATCTCAAACACAGTTTAAAAAACATTGAAAATTTCTAGTATAATCACTGACTCTTTATCTTGCTCTTCTTCTTTCTTTTTTCCTACTTCTTCTTCTTCTTTGAATCAGAAGAAAACATATGCTCAAACAGCTGAATCTGCTATCTCTAAACCTGCTGTCTCAAAATCTGCTTAAAATTCTGAGAAAACTGAGAAGAATACTACTCATGTCTCTATTCATAGAAAAGTGAAAAAGAAAATGTAAAAAGAGAAAAACTTTCAAAGCTTCAGAAATAGAAGACTTATTCTCAAAGTCTTAAATCAGAATATTCTGCAAAGAAATAAGCTAAACTCAAATCTCATTTTCAGAATCAGAAATGAAATTAATCAGCAGTTCTTTTCTCAGTTGATGACTGATATTGAAGTTTAAAAATCAGTTATAGCTACAACCGCTCCACCACGAACTCGCTCAATTTTTCGAATAAGAACCCGCCGATAGATCCATCGAAAAGCCCTCGATCATACGAGCATTCTGACCCCATCGCCGACCGCATACCCTGTGTGGTGGTGGAGTTATCCAGCCAAACGTGAACCGGACGTTGTTCGAAACTCCTGTGTGGGAGTATCCCCCGTTCTCCCCTACCACACCACAACCCCGGGCCAAAGTGCCATACAAATTGTAAGGTGAAGAGACCTAGCCATATGCACCAATCTTCTCGATTTTGGAAGATCCCCGATCTGTAGTTGTGGAGATATCTGAGGAGCGACCTCCGCGAAAACCCTGTTCATCTTTGATGTTCCAAAACACCAACGCCAAGTCCCACCGTTGTACCGCCCTTCCTAATCTGGCCCATCCCCGGCAGAAAAATACAAAAAGATACCTTGGCGATAATATCAAGCACATAACCAACGGCCACTTCTGAAGTGCAACCTCCGCGGTCTGTCTTCAGTGTATCTGGACATCAACACCAAGTCTCGCCCTCGTACCACCCCTCTCAATCTGGCCCATCCCCGACAGAAAAGTACAAAAAGATACCTCAGCAACTGTACTCAATACATAATTAGCAGACACAACAACTATAAAATCAGTATACCCCAAGGTCTGACTGAGCCTTTGATCCCTGCACAGTGAGATATATTAAATCTAGTTTTAATACCTCAATATTCAATAGATTCTGCAAGGAATTGAGAACAGCAACACTAGATTTCTATTGAATTTGAGAATTAACTCTATATTGATATAATCATTGACAAAGTCTTCTATTTTGAGATATAAATAACCAGTTCCTCTACATCCTGCTGGTAATATTTATATTATTATATAGAAACAGACTTATATTCTCTATAATATCAAGACTCTGAAGAGGGAAAGTCTTGATAGAAGGTATACAGTAGTGCATATCTTAGCAGTTTCTATCTCATTCTTCTGCAGCAGTTAATGCAAAAAAAAGATTTTAGAAATAGTTTTTTACTTCTCTTAAAAAAGTAAGATGTTTTTCTCTGAATTTTACACAATATTCTTATAAAGAATTAAAAACAGAGTTATTTTCTGTTATAATTTCATATTCTTTTAAGTAAGAATTACTTTTTCAGTGACTGAAGAGCTTTCATTAATACTTAATTCTTTTTTACACTCTTTATTAACTGATTTGAGTTGCATACCTGTTGTGTGAGAAGAATTGAATAATTTAGAATAAAATTGAATAGTTTTAATCAATTTCTCTTCAAAAAATTGATTTATTTTTTGTCAGTTTTTCTCTCAAAAACTGTCATATCATCTGATTTACTATCAATTGATATCATACTTTTCCTCATTGTATCCCAAGAAAGAGATTGTAAAGATTTTATTGATTTATCTTAAAAATCAATTTTAGTTTATTAGATTCTCTTCAAAAATCTAACCTAGTTACTGAACTAGTGTGAAAAAAATCAGGTGTTTTATACACAAAAGTCTGTGATTCTTCTTTTGAAATAGTCTGACCAACTTTTCAATTGAAAACAGACTTAGAAACCTCTTAATTGAAACAGTCTGACCAACTTTTCAATTCAAAAAGAGTTTAATAAATATCTCAATTGAATTAGTCTGATCAACTTTTCATTGAGTAAGAACAATGAGTTCAAAAGTACACTCAGTTGATGTGAAGAAAGATGCTTTCTCAAATGCTATTTCTGAGATTGAAATTCTGAAGAGAAGAAAGAAAGAAGAGATAGAGAAACAACAAGTTCTTGAAATACAGGAACTTGAAAAAGCAAGTAAAATTCTTGAAAAGCAGTATCTGAGTGAGATGAATGAAGAAGTTCTGTTAATTCTTCATACTCAGACTAGACAACTACAGGAAGTGATCAAGTTCAAACTTGGAATTTCAAACACAGTTCAAAAAACTTTGAAAATTTCTAATATAATCACTGACTCTTCAGTTTGCTCTTCTTTCTTTTCTACTTCTTCTTCTTCTTCTTCTTTGAATTAGAAGAAAACATATGCTCAAGCAGCTGAATCTGCTGTCTCTAAACCTGCTATCTCTAAATCTGCTGTCTCAAAACCTGCTCAAAATCCTGAGAAAACTGAGAAGAATACTGCTCATGCCTCTATTCATAGAAAAGTGAAAAAGAAAATACAAAAAGAGAAAAACTTTCAAATCTCCAGAAATAGAAGACTTATTCTCAAAGTCTCAAACCAGGACATTCTGCAAAGAAACAAGCTAAACTCAAATCTCATTTTCAGAATCAGAAATGAAATTAATCAGCAGTTCTTTTCTCAGTTGATGACTGATATTGAAGTTCAAAAACCAGTTATAGCTTCAATTGAACTATCATTCTTTGAAAACTCCATTATTCTGACTACAATGCCTGAATTCAGTGCTGAATTCCTTATTCAGAATAAGAATCTCTGAAAGTCAGCAGTAGAATCTTTGTTAAACACAACAATTCTATCTGAAAGAGATGAAAAGTGAGACAAATTCATTCTTTATAATATTTCAGTTGAAATTTTTGACTGTGAAGAAGAAATGCTACTTCTTAAAAATGAATTGAAAGAATACAACTCTATTCAACTGAGAAAGGAGCCTGTATGACTAAATTTAATTAAGTTCAGACAAAGCAGGAGAAATGCCTCTGTTCTAGTATATATAAAAACACTTGAACAGTCAAAGATCTCTGAAGTAAGAGTAGCAGGTTTGAAAATGAGAGTTCATGAATACAAAGACTCAAGGATGAACCTCAAAGCTCAAACACAGTGTTCAAACTGTTAAAGATATGAATACTTTGCAATCTCATGTTTTAGAGACTCAAAATGTGCATTCTGTGCTAGAGATCACAAAACTAGTGAGTATAAATGTGAAACATGCTCAAAAAGAGATGAAATTTGTCAACATACTCTGCTTAAGTGCTCTAATTGCAAAGAAAAACATGCATCTAGCTCAAAAGAATGTATATTTACTTCAAGAACTCAAAAGAACTGGAGAAAAGATAAAGTTCAAAGTTAATCTAGAACTGAAGAGAAGAGTCAAGTCAGTAGACTTATAACTACAAGTTTAAAAAGAAGAAACTCTCAACTATCTAAATCTTTAAACTTTAATTCTTCAGCTAAATGTAAAGAGAATTTGAATTCTTAAACTTCTGTTAAGATTAGAGAATTGAGAAATGACTCTGATGATAAACTAGATATAATACAAGCAGTTGAGATTCCTACTTTTCAAAATAGTTATAATATACTATCTGATGATAGTGACTAGATCCTACTCTATCTCTACTCTCTTTTAGTATGAATATACAATAAAAACAACAAAAAAAGTTTAAAAACTCTTCAAAAATCACATTTATTCAAAATAATGTGAATAGAAACTCAAATTGTATTTATTCTTGTCTTTAAATTGCATTTAAATAAGAAGTTAATTTTATACTACTTCAGAAATCAAATTTTGATGCTGAGTAAAATTACATCATTTCTCATTCAAGCTACTACTACTTTCTATCTCAAAAGTCTGAGATAAATTCAAGAGTAGTAATCTATGAAAGAAAGAGATTAAGATATTAATTTAATCTAAGATTTGATATTATATCTGACTCTGATATTCTGGTGAGTGATATTATAGATAAAGAAAATAAGTTTGATACTATACAGCTTATAAATATCTATAATGAAAAGTCATTGAAGAAAAATAACAATATCTGAATAATTGATAGAGGATTTCTGAACATACCTTTATCAAGAAACTCTATAATTGCAGAAGATTTCAATGCACATCATCTCTGATGAAATTCAGAATATAAGAGAGCAGTGAAAGCTGATAATCTGATTGAATAAATCTTTGAGCATTTAATAGATTTGATTAATAAGTCTGATTAACAAACATTCTTTAGAAAAGATATAAAACAGAAGTCTATTATAGATCTAATCTTCATATCACAAAATCTAATGAAAAGAAGACTTATAAACTGGTTTATTAATTTAAATAAAACATCAGAATCAGATCATAAGATTATTCAATTTAATATTAAACTGAGTGAAAAATAAATAAGTGAAAATCCTCTTCTCTCTAATCAGTATAACTTTGAAAAAGCTGATTGAAAAGTAGTTGAAGAAAGTATAAAACTGTTAAAATCTGAAAGATAGAATGAGTTATATTGAAATTCTGATCAAGATATCTCAAATGAAATGCTTGAGAATAGAGTGAAGCTTATTATATCTATTATTCTAATAAGTGTTAGAGATAATATTTCAAAAAGAAAATCTTCTGAGTATTCAAAATCTTGATGAAATGAGAATATCTCATTTAAAAGAAAAGAATTAGCTACTGCTAGAAGAGATGAAAAGAATAATATAATATCTAATGAAGAGTTCAAAGCTGTCAGAAATGAATATTTTTCAGATATTAAAAGAGCTAAAACAGACTGCTGAAATAAATTTCTTAAAGAAGTATAAGAAAAGAAAGTTTTTAAAGCTTTTAACTATACTAAAACAAGAAGTGTAGCAAAACTTTCAGCCTTAGAATATGAGTTTCAGAATGAATTATATACAGCAAACTCTTTTGAGAAAAAATGTTAAGCTTTTATAAGAATTCTCTTTCAGAACTCACTGAATTCAGATTCAGATTCAGAGAAAGAGAATATATCACTTCTTAACTACATTGATGAAAATGACTGAGAATAGTCTGATCTTATACAAGATGAATTAGAGTCAGTTATCTTCTCAAGTTCTGTTAAAACTGCTGCAGATCCTGATTCAATTAATCACTTAATTATTTAAAATACATATTCCTACTTAAAGAATGAATATTTTGAGCTCTTTTTTATTCTCTTGAAAAATGAATATTATTCTGAATACTGAAGAGAAGCCACTGAAGTGATTCTTGCAAAACCTAATAGAAAAACTTTAATTTCTAAGTCATATAGAGTAATATCTCTATTGAACTGTCTAGAAAAGGTTTTAGAAAAGATAATAGCTACTCAACTATCTTTTATAAGCTCTATAGATGATTCTCTTTATTCAGTGAATAAATGAAAGATAGAAAACAGTGTTCTGCAATTGACATTGTTCTCTCAGTTATTCATGATATTTAAATAGCAAAGTATGAGAGTCTGGTCTCAACTGCAGTTTTTATTAATATAAAAGAAGCATTTGATTATGTTTCAAAGTCAAAGTCAATTCAGATATTAAAGATATTAAAACTGCCACTTTCTCTAATAAAATGAGTTAACTGTTTTATATCTAAAAGAATTATACAACTTTTCTTTGATGAAATGAAACAAGATAAGACTGAGATAAAAATAGAAGTATCACAGAGATCTTCAATCTCACTCATTTTATTTGCAATATACACTGTATATCTATTCAAAAATAGAAATATGAGAATAGTGCAATCTCTGAGTTATATGAATAATATTGATCTAGTCTACAGCTTAAAAACTATCAAGGAGAATTTAAAAGTAATTGAAGAAGCTGTAAAGAAAATCTTTATTAGAGCAGATATCAATTAAATTCAATTTAATATGAATAAAACTGAGTTAATTCATTTCTTTTCTAGATTCAATGAGAAAGAACTGTCTCTAACTCTTTTAAATAGAGAGATTAAACTCAGTGTAAATGTCAAATGATTAGAAGTATAATTAAACTTCAAGTTGAATTTTAAATATCACATTCAACAAAGAACTGTCAAGGCAGAAAGACTATTAAACAATATAATCAGACTATCAAATACAGAGAGAGATCTATTCTTTCAGACTATGAGATAGTTATATATAGTCTGTATTATATCAGTAGCTGATTATGAAGTTCAAGTTTGATGAAATAATCAAGAGAATTTCACTGAACTCTTTCAAAGTCTGCAAAACAGAGTCTTAAGAAGAATTCTGAAAGCATTTAAATCATCTTCTATTAAGGCAATGAAAATTGAAGCTTCAATTTCTTCTTCTATTAGTAGATTTGAAAAGACCTGTATGAACTATACTCTGAGAGTTGTAAAGTTAAGCTCAAATCATATAATCAGAGAAAGAGTCTCTTCTTAATTTTCATCAATTAACTCTGAAAATGAACTGGATTGAAATAGATTTCTTGATTGAAATGAAAATAATTCTTCAAAGAAAATGTCTTCTCAACTGTACAGACTATGCTCTCTGATTAAAAATTAATTTTCTTCTTTAAATGTTGAAAAAGTTGATCATGAGAAGTTATCACTCTGAAGAGAAAAGCTTGAATCTCTTATAAACTTATAAATAAGTGAACTATTAAAAGAGAAAGAATATAAACAGTATTTGAAGAGAATTTCTACAATTAATATGAAAGACTCTATTCTGATTTATTCAGATGACTCAAAAAATGAGAACTTGAATAGATTAGACACAGACATTGCTTATACTGAAGATAATATCAATTTTATCTTAGATTTCTGAAATCTAGACTGTGAATGTGAGATCTTTGATGCTGAACTATTTGTAATAGTGAAAGCTTTTAAACTCATTGAAATAAAATCTTATAAAAGAGAAAATTGTTTAAAAGAGATATGAATATTCTGTGATAGTCAAGCTGCTTTAAAAAGACTTAGAAATAGTCAGATTTATAATGATCAAATGAATCTTGAACTGATCTTAAACTCTGTTTTAAAAATTCAAAAGAAAAGAATATCAAAGCTGATAATTCATCTGCACTAAGTTCCTGCTCATATGAATATTCATGATAATGAATTGACTGATTCAGCTGTAAAAAAGAGTGCAAAATTAAGCAGATCTATTTAAAAAATTATGTTCTGATCTTTTATAAAGAGAAAAATAAAAGAATCTTGTTTAGATAAGTGAAATGAAAGCTGACAGAAATAAAAGAAGAGTATACATTATTCAAGATTTGAAACAAAACTCAAGTGAAAATCTTATTCAATTAAATGTAAAAAGAAAATATTCTCATCTATAATACAGCTGAAACTAGAACATGACTATTTCAAATCTTATACACAAGGATTTGATGATAGATTTGACTCAATAGAATGCTCATTCTGCAATACAAATGAGAATTCTGAGTATATTATAATACACTGTGTATTATATAATAGTCTCAGAGTCAGATTGAAAGAGAAGTATAATCTAAATCAATTAAATATGAGATTCTTATTCTCAACTGAGACAGGAATTAAATACTTAATAGACTTTCTATCAGAAACTCAAGCAGTTACAAGAAAATGACTAAATTCAGAATTATCTGAATATGAAGAGGAGGAAATTAATCAGATATAGTCTGTTAAAACAGCTATACACTCTCTTTTAATAATTTGTTTTGTTATAGTCTCTCTTTACTTTATCTTTTTCTCTATCTTTTCCTTTCAATTTCTTTCTATCTATCTATTTAATGTGTCTATCTTTGAGACTGTGTTCTTTTTCTTCTTTTCTTTGTCATGATATTGTCAAATGATTTCAAAGTATTAAAAGATGTTAAAACACTGTAATTTGTAAACAGTTTTTATATTCTGAGCTGGAATTTTCTGATTTTGCATATCTGAAATTGATGAATGTATAATAGTTAACTTTACAGACATAGAAAAAACCCTGAGAACTAAAAGTTCTCAGGTAGATATCATAGTCTCTGACTGTATACATCTATAATTGAAGAAGAATAATAATAATAATCATTCATTCACTCAGCTTATTAATCAATTAAAGCATGTATAGCTAATTCATAAGCAATGAAATGAACAGATAAATTCATATAAAATATAAAGAGATATTTTACAGAATTTTAAAATATATTAAGATAAAAATATTTAATAATTAATTTTAAATTAATTTTAAATTAATTTTAAATTGCTTCTGAATTAATTATTAATTAATTATAGTAATAAAAATAAATTCAATCTGTATATTTAAGTAATTAATAATTGATTGAAAATTAGTTAATAATTAATTCAGTGTAATTTATATAAATACTTACTTTATTATTAAATTTAAGAATAATTTCAGTATTAAATTACTTTTAAATTGATTTTGAATTGATTTTGAATTAATCTTGAATTAATTGTTAATTAATTATAGTAATAAAAATAAATTCAATCTGTATATTTAAGTAATTAACAATTGATTGAAAATCAGTTGATAATTGATAATAAATAATTAAGTAGTTTCAAATTATAAGAAAAGATGTATTAAGTGAGATCAGATAGTAATATAAGCTATATTTATAAGATTAGCTTATATAATGAGATTAAGTGATACACTTAACAAGGTTAAGTTTTCTACTTTCTAATCTTAATATAATAATGAAATCATTATAAACAAGTGTCAGGAAAAAGAGGTTATACACTACTGAACGCCACCAACATCATATTACTACAATATTTCTCATCATCATCAGCTTACTACAACGCTCGTCTAATACTCGCTTATGCTAGCTCTCTTGGCTCGCACATATATTTTACTATAAATAGCTCTATCTTTTGTATGAAATAGATATATTAGATAGTGCACGGATAATATAACAAGCAGATCTTGATACAAATAAGATTCATATGTCTTCAACATATTTATCCGTGACACCCAATCCGACAGTTATGAGCCCGGTAAGCAGCATCTGAAGAGAAGCGCGATACACCACGATCCCAATCCTCATTCGAATTTGACAACAATCATTCGAACTGAGACGATTGATCCTCATTCGTATACGGTCCGATCTAATCGACTGTTATACCATACCTGATTCCCGGTAAGCAGCATCTGAAGAGAAGCGCGATACACCGATCCCAATCCTCATTCGAACTGATAACTATCATTCGAACTGAGACGATAGATCCTCACTCGTATACATTCCGATATACTCGACCGTTATACACCCTGAATTCTGATCATATCTATCCGAAATACTCGACCGATATGACAGACAAGACAATGTCTAGTGCAACTGTACACCTTAGCGTTCCTGGAGATTGGAAACTTTGGTACAAGCATATGCTAGGATATGCAAAGGACAAGAAGGTATCAGACTTCATCAATCTTGATAAACCCGATATCTTCTCTGAACTAGAAGAACCTCTGGAACCTGAGTGTCCAGAAGAAGCCACCGCGGAGGCCAAGATAGCATATGACATCAAGGTCACTGCGTGGAAAATCAAATATATGAAATATGAAAAAATGAATGAAGGTATGACAAAGATACGAGATGTCATATGGAGAACAGTGGATGCCACAGAGCTACAACATGTACGCAGCGAGAATGATGATGTGAAGGAGATTATCCATTCATTAAGAGATCGTCTCTCACCCACGACCGCGGACTATCAAGATGATGTGAGAACCCGATACCATGATCTCTGCAAAGCACCGAAAAACGGAGGTATAGAGAAGTGATTAAATGACTGATCACTCATCGAAGATGATATCAAAGAGGCGGATATAGCTGGACAGTTCAACTTGAAGAAAGACTTCTTAAATACAAACCTAGCTATTGATGCAGGATATGCACAAGCATGGGCAAAGGATGTCCGACGTGATAAAGATGTCATATCTTTGATAGAGTTAGTTAAGGACTTCAAGGAACGGTATAGGGAAATGGGTATTCTCAAAGGAGATAAACCTATGAACTTCACTACCCTTAATGGAAGACCAGCGACATTCGGAAACTGCATCTGCGGAGCCCGTCACCGATACACCCAGTGCTACTATCTCAATCCATCAAGGAAGCCACCTGGATGGAAGGAAAATGGGGAGAAGAGAACTCAAATCGATCAAGCTCTTAAAAATCAAGGATTGAAGAGACGCGTTGATCGTGCGATATCTAGAGATTCATCCACGAATACGGATATGGTAGATGCCAATGAAGCAGTCATAGGAGGAATGGTTCTGAAGAAATCAGTTCCTCAATCTATCGAACATCAATCTATCGATCATCAATCTATCGATCATCAATCTATCGATCAACAGATCCGAAAAATATCAATGAACTCTTCAAATTCTCGCTCCTACCTCCGAAACTCCTGGATCTTTGATACTGGCGCGGAACAGCATATATGCAATAATTGAACATGTTTCCTATCCTTTACACCTGCGAACGAGAATGCGGAAGTCTATACAGGTGATTCCAGCACTAAAGTTGAAGGTTATGGAACTGTTAGAACTATCATGATAAATGAAGCAGGAAAGCAGTTCAATGTCAAACTCACCAACGCGGCTTACATCCCGAATTTCCATACAAATATCATCGCATGGAAACCGTGTTTCCATATAGGAGGCATCTATTATGATGGAAAAGACTTCAGATTGTGAAAATGCGCAGATAATACAATCTTTGCATGCGTTGAAGTATTTGGGGGGTTGCTAGTTACAGAATATAATAGTGAAACAGCTGTTTTCTCAACTATCTCGGAAAAATCCACTACTGAAGCCGATGCAGCTACCACACCACACACATCTAACATCACTATATCTGAAAAAATGATATCTTCAAATTCTTCAACTTCTACAAATCCTTCTTCCAACCTGCTGATACACACAAAACCTTCTCAAAAACCTAAGATCTCTATAGCTACTCAGTCAACATGGCATAAGAGATTAGGACATCCATTGAAAATCGCCATTCAAAAGCTTGCAAATGTTGCAACTGGTGTTCAAATCACCAATCTAGAAGATGCTGCGGATGAGCTTACCACTGAGCTTTGTGAACCCTGCCATCTATCTAATGCGGAAAATCAAATATCTAGACGTCCCCACATTAGATCTCATACACTGAATTCAACACCTGAACCTACGCCAGGGCCAGCGGGCCCTAATGTTGATACAGGTCCTAATGTTGATACAGGTCTCAATATTGATATTAATACTCAATCAGCTGCAATAGATGATCGTACACAGAACATTGCACATAGAGCTCACAATATCAGTGCTAACTTTGATGAAGATAATATCATTGAAGACCGCAGAACCCGAAATCACAGAGCTGCCCACCTTATGGCAGTTGCAAATGCCAAAGTCAATCCTTTTCAAATGATCAATGAAGCATTCTCTCATTCTCAATCACACTCAGACTTCTACAAGTCTCAAAATTTATTTTCTAATACTGTTTTGACTGTTCTCAACAATACAGCTACATCAACAGCATCCATACCGACTTCAGAGATCCATAGATCTCAACTGCCAGATCCACCGAACCACTGGACAGATGTTGAAAAACACCCACATCACGAAGAATCCGAGAATGCTAGGCTTCACCTCTATGCCAGAGGATTGCTGCCTCTTCTCAAATGATCGATTAATTGTCTTCTTCTATGTGGATGATATCGTCATCCTATCCCGATGGGAGGATTCAGATGAAAGATATCAATCTGAGAACGTGTCCAATCCGGCGATATTACAGTTGATTGGGTGCCTACGGCCCAGATGCCAGCGGATGGCCTCACTAAGGCTCTGCCACGCCAGAAACATACAGAATTCGTCAAGATGCTAGGCCTAGTTGATATATCAGATATCATCAAGGCGTAAGCAGAATAAATGGTCTATCTTGATGTAATCTCTACAGATTCATCTACACTCTTTTAGTTGCAGCTTCATTTACACTTTCATTTACATGTTACATTTGCTGAAGGGGGTGTGTCAGGAAAAAGAGGTTATACACTACTGAACGCCATCAACATCATATTACTACAATATTTCTCATCATCATCAGCTTACTACAATGCTTATCTAATACTCGCTTATGCTAGCTCTCTTGGCTCGCACATATATTTTACTATAAATAGCTCTATCTTTTGTATGAAATAGATATATTAGATAGTGCACAGATAATATAACAAGCAGATCTTGATACAAATAAGATTCATATGTCTTCAACATATTTATCCGTGACACCCAATCCGACAACAAGCTATGAATAGAAAAAAATTATTATTATATTAATAATGTCACTGATTTCTATTTCTTTAACTACTAACTTAAAAAAATGTCTTCTTTATCAGTATTAATAATCTCTAGTAACTTAATTTCTTACAGATTTTCTGTATTATTTTTTATTCTTTCTTATTATTCTCTATTATCTGTATATTCTTGTTCTTATTAATATCAGCAAACTTGAGAATTCTAATTAAAGTTTTCTCAGAGAGAGAAGTAGAATTAATATAATATTTAAACTAAGAGATTTCTGAATATTTATAAGCAGTTCATTTATTTATCTATATTATTATTATCAACTTCTGTATATATAAATCTGAGAAGTATTTCATTAATTCTAACTTATATTTTTTTCATCACAGAAAACATTTAAATTAGAGCTGATTATCAGAATCTTAGAAGAGAGGTAAAAAGAACTAGTAGAAGTAACAGTGATAGTAATAGTAGTAGCAGCAGTAGAAGCAGTGATAAGACAGGTAGTAAAGAGAGTGAGAGAGACTGAAGAGATAGTACTAGTAGCAGAGATGATAATAAGATAAGTAGTAAAGAGAACAGAGAGAAGAGAATTATTAATATTATTAATATTATCAGACTTCTTATTCTTATTAATATTCTATCAAGTGTCAGAGAATATTCTCACTCAGTTTAAAATTTCATATATTTTTATTATAATATTGAAGACATTTTAATTTATCTGATTTATTATATCTATTAAATATATAATTATCTGATTCTGATCTTTTATATAACAGTTAAGTGTTATCAGAATCTCATACTGAATTATTAATTTAAACTTTTCAATTATTAATTTCTTCTACTTAACTATTAATTTAAACTTTTTAATCACTATTTTCTTCTACTCAACTGTTAATTTAATTTGTTTAATATTTATTATTACTTTTTATATCTCAATTCTGATCTTTTCAGTGATACTGATAATTATATTTAATGACTTAATTATAATAGTTATACTCTTCATTTTCTGATAGTATATTCTAGCTTTCTTAATTTATTTAACTATATTTTTCACTGTCTTTAAAATTAATTGCTTAATTAATTTCTTGAAATCATTTAACAAAGTAATATAAAAATTATGAATTCAGATCAGCTTATTAATATACTCTTTTAATTCTTCAGAAGAAATTACACATCTCTTTTTATCATAATTATAATTTATATAAGACTTTGAACTTCTCTCAATCTTATTATAAGCAGCATTGAGATGACAGAGAAAAATTCACTTAATACAGTGTTTATATATTATCTTTTTATCAGACTACTTTATTAAAATATTAATCTCTTTCTTTTGAACTTTTGCAGTGACTGTATATATATATGTAACGGGCTACGCCCGATCATTTATATAGACTATTCTGTTACACTTCACAGACTTCTATCACTCTGATTCTCAGTCATTCTCAGCCATTCTTAATCACCAATTCTCAGCTGCTATGAACATGTATAAATATTCACTTTGATTAGTGATTTTCATACTTTCTCTTTCTTTTTCTTCTTTAATGTTTTTCACTTTGATATATAAGATCTATATATTATACTGATCTATTTAATGTAGATCTTCTACACTTGAAAAATATTCATTATCTTTTTATAAGAAATAATTATTCATGTATTATTTTCTTATTAGAAATAATTATTCATTGAGAAGATATCTGAACATATAACAATGCATAAGAAAGAGAAACACAGTTAAGCAGGCAGTGAGTTCTTAGATAGAAGCTTACTCATCAGTTATTCTAACTCTGTAATAAGATTTTATAAGAGAATATCAGTGAAAGATCTGAGAGTTCTGACACTCAGATATATAAGATATTATTATTATTATTATTATTATTCAATTATAGATGTATGCAGTCAGAGACTATGATATCTACCTGCGAACTTTTAGTTCTCAGGGTTTTTTCTATATCTGTAAAGTTAACTATTATACATTCATCAATTTCAGATAGATAAAATCAGAAGATTTCAGCTCAGAATATAAAAACTGTTTACAAATTACAGTGTTTTAACATCTTCTGATACTTTGAAATCATTTGACAATATCATAACAAAGGAAAAGAGAATACAGTCTTAAAGATAGACACATTAAATAGATAGATAGAAAGAAATTGAAAGAAAAAGATAAAGTAAAGAGAGACTGTAACAAAATAAATTATTAAAAGATAGTATATAGCTGTTTTAACAGACTATATCTGATTGATTTTCTTCTCTTCATATTCAGATATTTCTGAATTTAGTCATTTTCTTGTAGCTGCTTGAGTTTCTGATAGAAAGTCTATTAAGTATTTAATTTCTGTCTTAGTTGAGAATAAGAATCTTATATTTAATTGATTTAGATTATACTTCTCTTTCAATCTGACTCTGAGACTATTATATAATGCACAGTGTATTACAATATACTCAGAATTCTCATTTATATTGCAGAATGAGCATTCTATTGAGTCAAATCTATCATCAAATCTTTGTGTATAAGATTTAAAATAGTCATGTTCTAGTTTCAGCTGTATTATAGATGAGAATATTTTCTTTTTATATTTAATTAAACAAGATTTTCACTTGAGTTTTGTTTCAAATCTTGAATAATGTATACTCTTCTTTTATTTCTGCCAGTTTTCATTTCACTTGTCTAAATAAGATTCTTTTATTTTTCTCTTTATAAAAGATCAGAACATAATTTTTTGAATAGATCTGCTTAATTTTGCACTCTTTTTTACAGCTGAATCAGTCAATTCATTATCATGAATATTCATATAAGCAGGAACTCAGTGCAGATGAATTACCAGCTTTGATATTTTTCTTTTTTGAATTTTCAAAACAGAGTTTAAGATTAGTTCAAGATTCATTTAATTATTATAAATCTGACTATTTCTAAGTCTTTTTAAAGCAGCTTGACTATCAGAGAATATTCATATCTCTTTCAAACTATTTTCACTTTTATATGATTTTATTTCAATGAGTTTGAAAGCTTTCACTATTATAAATAGTTCAGTATCAAAGACTTCAGATTCACAGTCTAAATTTCAGAAATCTGAGATAAAATTAATATTATTTTTAATATAAGCAATGCCTGCATCTAATCTATTTAAATTCTCATTTTTTGAGTTATCTGAATAAATCAGAATAGAGTCTTTTATATTAATGATAGAAATTCTCTTTAAATGCTGTTCATATTCTTTCTCTTTAAATAGTTCATGTATTTATAAGTCTATAAGAGATTCAAGCTGTTCTCTTCAGAGAGATAACTTCTCATAATCAACTTTTTCAATATTTAAAGAAGAAAATTGATTTTTAATTAGAGA